TTATAATTTATAAATATATTATATTAAATAATCCTCAGGCAAATTCTGCTCCTTTTTGATCATCTACTTTCAAAAGTATATGATGGAGGTACAAAGATACCACAAATGAGCAGAGGTTAAGAGTAATACTCAGGTAAGAAAGTAAAAAAACCTCTGTGTATTAGAGAGAAGAGTTACAGCAGATGTGATTGACCTATCTCACTGAGTGTTTTACATTCCTTGATCTTCAATCTGTGATACGAAACTGTTGAGGAAGCCACTTGGCTAGCTGGAACCAGATACTTAACATAGAGATGGAAAATGTTCGATGAAATGAGAGTCACAAAAGAAATTAATTACAAAGCAGGGAATTAAACCAGGGTCTCCAAAGTCTGAACACCTGGGACCATCTTCTCTTTTAAAAGTCTAAGTAAAAAAAAAAAAAAAAGGCATTAAGCTGATAACAGTAAATGATGTTTTTATTGAAAACACGATTAACCTCTGGAAATCTTCCCTGCTAGGTGTCACCAGTTTGGGAACACAGTGGGACTCAAAAAACCAGTTATGTGAACAATAAGAATACTTGTCATGACTTTGACTAGGAGAAAACTGTAAAGCATATAAAACTACTGGCTGTCAGGGACCGGGAAGACATTTTCTCTGTGAGCAGGTTACTGTATAATTATCTGTGACAGTGTTTGTTCCTTTGAATTGTTTCATCTTGACCAGTGGAGGCAAGATAATGGGTTGTGTAGTTTTGTGAAGCTTTTTTTTGGGGGGGGGGGGGGGGGGGGGGGGGTGAGAAATGCTTGAGGCAAATTCTCCCTCTTTGGTATCACACCTTTCTCCAGGGTTATGTTCACCTTCTTCTTAAATGTCTCAAGCAAAATTTCTGCTCCCTACCCTCCATGAAAAAAAATTTGAAGACAGCAGTCGTTGACATGAGCAAATTATTCTTGCCATTCGTGCTAGACTTTCTCTTGCTTATATTTGGTCCAGTTCTCCTAGGTGATTGTCTGGGAGTGACCTCAAGGAAGCTCTGCATTACTGGGGCTCTACCCCTAGCTCTTGTGTCTGCTCCTGGTTATTGTCTGAACTTTCCATCTATCGCAGCCATGTCTCTCTTATTCTGTAATCTTTGCCTTACCATCTTGGTGATCTTTGGTCCAGTCTACAAGTTAAATGTGTTATTTTTTTAAAGCTGTGTGGCTACTTTTCTGGGTAACTTGATGTATTTTGTGTCTCTTGCTTTGTATCTTGCAGGAAGAGCCAAGGAGCAAATCCAAGATCTGTGCCAATGTTTTCTGCGGAGCTGGGCGGGAGTGTGCAGTGACTGAGAAGGGAGAGCCAACCTGCCTCTGCATTGAGGTACGGGGGCAGCGCAGGTTCTGCGTCTGGGACAGGTGTCACCACCATCACCCCCCCTGATGTGTTTCGGTTGCTGGAAGGATCCCATGATGGAATGAGGCTACAGCTGTTTTGGAGCAGCTGCAAGTTCACAGTGGCTCTTCAAACAGCAGGGCCTTTCCCAGTGTGGTTCAGGGGAAGAGCCCTCTGGGGCAGAGAGTGTCGGATGCTTGCAGCTGTGCTGCTTGCACAACTGCCTAGGCTCTCTTTACATGCACAGGAGACTTGGCTGGAGGTCTTTTGTTGGGAAAGCCCAGTAGGGTATTGATATGCAGCTGGCTTTGGAGGGCACTCTAGGGAGAGGTCTGCAAGCTCCCAGGCAGCCTGCCCTCACTGGCGTCTTGTTTGAGGAGGTTACAAGCACCCTACTAAAAGTCAGCTTTTGTAAAATGGAAATAATTGTGGTAGAGTGCTGTGAGGATGAATAGCTTCATCCAGCAGGGAGCCAGAGATGATTAGAAGAGTCTTTCCCAACTGTAGAGACAGCATCTCCCTACTCCACAGTGCCCCATCCTTTCAGACCATTCCTGCCTGGCTCCTGGGCATGGCCATATGGCTCTTTGTTCCGTGTTCACTCAGAGCCTGCAGCTCTGATATGGCCGGCCTGGGCACTGGAGAGTGAAATGCCCCATTAGCAGGAAGAGTGTCTGTCACTCCGGGTAGGCTTGGCCAGACTGAAAGGGGTGGTAGAAAGAAGCCCACAGCCTGAACAATGGCACTGGTGAACTCTCCTTCTGGTGCAGGCTGTGCTGTTTGCTCGTGGCTCATGGCTTATTCTGCATTTGGTTGCAGAAAGGTAGAGCAGAGTCTACAAAGAGATGCAACAGAGCTGAGCAAGCAGAGGTGCACAGAACACATTCACAGAAACACCTCCAGCCAGGCATGTCCATGGCACACAGAGCAACAGTCGCAGGATTATGCTTAATATTTAAGATGGGCAATGATTCCTCTGCTGGACTCTTCTATGAGGAAGGCTTCTGTTGTGGTGGTGGTGATGGAGGCTGGGATAAAGTGAAAGCCTTTGAACCCACACTCACAGACTTCCCTGTGCAGGTTTTTGTAGGGTGATGATGGGTGGGTTCAGCCTTCTCCAAACACATTTTGGGCCAAGGGGGCTGTGCCAAGGGCCAGGGGCTTCTGGTGTGTTGGGCTGATATTGGGACTCGCCTGCCTCCCTTTAGCTGTCTCGAAGAGGCAGGTAAAATGCTGTCTTCTCTGGCTTTCTCGCAGCAATGCAAACCTCACAAGAGGCCTGTGTGCGGTAGCAATGGCAAGACGTACCTAAACCACTGTGAGTTGCACCGTGATGCCTGCCTCACTGGCTCCAAGATCCAGGTGGATTACGATGGCCACTGTAAAGGTAACCCCAGTGATGAGGGCCAGCTACCCTCTAAGGGAGGGAGAGTCAGAAGCCGCGCGTGATAACAAGGCAAGGCAGAGGCCTCACCAGCCAGGACCTTGTCCCACAGTTGCGGAGAGTGGTGAACAGGGCAAGCCTGGGAATGATAGCCAGGTTCAACTGAGAGTCCAGATCACCAGCCAAGTTTGTCGTGATGAAGTAGGCCTGAAGTCAAGCCATGAAATCAGGTCCGGTGATGGTAACCAGAACCAGGCACAGATCAGCGATTGCCAGACAAGTCCTTAGTGAAGCAGTCTGGAGCAGGCTTGGGATCAAGGTGGGAAGACAGTCACCATGTCAGGGCCTAGATCAACAGGGTCTATGGCAGGTACGGTGCTGGAGACAAGGCATACCTACAACATAATCCCAGGCAAGGACCAGGGGCTAAGGCATCAGCTGAAATGGAGCACTTGGGCTCATGGGTAGAGAGTGTGGATGGAGGCCCTAGATCAGGTTGGCCGTAGTGGGATCTTAGAGCTATTGCCTCCCTGGGTTACTGGAAAGGTGGGCACCCAGGAGAGCAGGGCAACTTCTTGCTTCTGCCTGCTTCTTTCTGAGCTTGTAGATTCAGCCAGGCAGGTGTCTTAGTCTGCCTGCTGAGGAAAGGTCAGATTCTCAGGATAAACCCGCAAAGCCCATACTACCATCCATGTTCAGCCTCTTGCCCTGTCACTCAACACCGTGGAGAAAAGTCTGGCTCAGTCTTCTTCGTTCCCTCCCATCGGATTTATAAATATTGATGAGATTGACCCTGAGCCTTCTCTTCTTCAGGCTAAACAGTCCTCAGTCTCCCCTTTGGGTGACAGATGTTCCAGTCCCTTAATCATACATGTGGCCCTCAAGTTTCCAGAGACTCCCAGGTTCCTCTGCTCTTGCCCAGGTGGCACCCAGGGTGGGAAGAGGTTCATAGTGCTTCATGTTGCATCAGAAATGTCCTTTTCTGTTTTTCATTAACAGAGAAGAAGTCTGAGAATCCAGCTGCAAGTCCAGGTGAGAAGCCGTCCTCTTGCATGACTGGGACCTCTGTATGCATTTGGGAAAGGAGATGGGAAGGAAGGTCTGCTGGGGGAGTTGCGCAGCTCTGTGTGAAAGTCGTAACTCTGCGCTGGCTGGAGCAGAGTCTGAGTTGATAAACCAGCTGAAATACGACTGCCCAGCTCGTTACTCCTGGGTAACATTTCAGAGCTCATACATCTCCTGGGCTCTTCACTGTGCTGAGATGTCTCAGGCACTCTTGAGTGTGTGCAAGGTGCAGTGAAACCCAGTTTGCCCCTAGGGACACAAGCTGTGATCGTCACACAGACCTAGGGAAGAGACACTCTTTTGCATAGTTCATTGGGGATCTAAGACACAATAACTGTGGAGCTATGTCCCCAGCTCCAAGACCACCCTTTTGAAAGGAGACTTTGCTTCAGGAGTGATTAACCAATGGGTGCAGGGCCAGAGACATCACTATGTAATGAATGGGGCATCATCTGGTTAGCCAGGAGGTGTAGCTGAACCACATCTCCCATCAGCCAACAAGTCTCTCTGATTCCCTGTGTCTGGTTTCTCCCCTTTTGCATTGCCTTGTGTACTTAGACTATGAATTCTGGGGCCATGGCCTCTGCTTCATCAGGGGATCCCTTTCCAGTCCATGGCCTCTAACTGTTGGACCTGTATAATTGTCAATTTAAGCTTCCTAGGACAGATGAGACCAAACCCCCATACAGCCTTAAGGGAAAGGACCATGTCAAGGCATGGCCACCACCTCAGAGCAGCTTTGGGGAAGTTCAACATTAAACATGCAGAATCCCTATGGGTTTTTCTTTTCATCTGTCCACCTGGCTGTGATTATAGTCACTGGATTCAGGAGAACCTTAGTGTGTGTAAGCAACACAAATGCACACTGATTCTCCTTCTGGCTCCATTGGCCTCTGGGTGGATGTGGCGACTCACAGAAGCCAGGAGATCTAGGCTTTCAGTTTTGCTTCTAAATACATAGTTCAGTATTAGCGCACAAGGTGATACCAAACTAGAGAAACTCATGGTTGCGGAGAGCACTGTGAACAAGACCAGCCTGACCTCATCTCATTTCCAGTCAGAGTGAGCAAGTCAGAGCTTTAAAGAAACATTTAAAAAATCTCCTGAGGTAGTAGGCTCTAAAATTCAAGTCTGGGGGACAGAGGCTTGCTCGGTCTAGTCTTTGCCCTTGCAGAAGATGGAAGTTTGGGTACTTGAGGGTTAACGGCTAAGTCCCTGTTCTGCATGGCATCGGGAAGCCTGGAGACAGTGTCCAGAGCCAGTCAGTTGCCTTCCTCCCTCAGTCCAGAGATTCTTCACACCAAGATGAGTGAGTCCCGAGTTGCTATTCCACAAGCTTTGAGGACGGGAAGGCAGGAGGGGTTTGGCAGGAGTGTCGTTTTCTGGCCTTGCCACACGGTGTCACCCACAGCCCATCCGCCGTTCAGCACATGGCACCTCAGCTTTGATCTGGCCATGGCACGTCTCCAAGGACAGAGGGGCCTGCAACCTGCCATCGGGGCTGGCTCGCTGGTATTCATTTCCAGTCGTCTCTCTGTGGTCTCCCTGCAAACTTCATTTCTCTCATCCTTGCTTTTTCTTCCACTACACCTTCTCCCATGACAGTCGTCTGCTACCAGTCAGACAGGGACGAGCTTCGTCGCCGTGTCATCCAGTGGCTGGAAGCTGAGATTATCCCAGACGGCTGGTTTTCCAAGGGCAGCAACTACAGCGAAGTCTTGGACAAGTATTTTAAGGCAAGTAGAGCAGTGTCTTCATCAGAGGCCGGAGAACATTTCTTGCCCTGTCGCTGCAATGTGGCAGCCATATCCTCACCCAAAAGGCTTCAGTGTGTGATGGGCTTGTCCAGCTGGGGGCCGGAGAGGTGTGGTATGTTCCACAGCGTGGTGTGTTATAGGCTGCCTGCAGCAGCTGCTGATGGAGCCACTGACATGGCTATGGGACACGCCAGACCTGGAACATCCCTGGGGATCTGACCTGCTCTGGGGAAATGGAGAGCAGGCTAGGTGTGCCTGTGGCAGGAGAGAGAAGAACTGAGCTCAGGGGACAAAAGATAACCAGAGGAGAAAAGATGGCTGAAAGTGCTATAAATGCAGGTAGAAGGAGCAGGAAGCTGGGGCAGGGGCTGCTGATCCTTTGTTCCAAACAGTCCCAGGGTCATGTTGAGGCGGGGGTAGGGGACACTTGGGAGCTTCAAGCAGAATATTTTCCTGCAAGGAGCGTGGCTCAGTTGTGGTCAAGAGCTGGCAGTTCCCTAGTGCTCAGCAGGGAGAGAGGAGCCACCCGTGAGTCTCAGGGCCGTGCAATAATCCCGTTCTTCTTCCCTCTTCCACGTCAACCTGTCCCTCAGCCCATCCCCACCCCCTTTTCTAACCACCAGATCACACGCTTCTCCCATGCTCCTGCCACATGCACTGCTGTGTCCCTCCCCCTCACACCCAGCTCCTGATCAAGACTTCAGAGCATTCAGGATGGAGCTGGAGGAGCAGGTGGGGAAAGGGGGAGAGTGTTTGAATCATAAGCTGTTGACAGCAAGAGATTAATGGTGCCTGACAGGAGTTAGCGCTGCAAGCAAATTTGCCATGGCAATGGCACCCCCTGGTGAGACAGAGGAGCTGGTCCCCTCGCTCCAGAGAGCGTCTTTGCCTTTGTAGCCATTAATGCAGCTCTGTCTGTGGAAACCCACTTGTGGCCCACTGCCTCGGGCACCCCTGCTGGCGCCTGCCAGCACCCAAGAGCTGCAGTGTCCTGCAAAGTGGAGCTCCTCAGTCTCTCCCCCTGCAAACATGCTGTCCCCAGCCGCCTTCACAGAGAGCCTCTCCAAGCCATGGGTTTTGCTGAAATGTACGAGCCAGCCACAGACTTTCTCCACTGCCTTGACGCTGCTTGGTCACTCCTGCCAACCCCGCGCCTGTTGGGCACTGGTGAAATCTCGTGGCTCCAGCTCAGAGGCAGACAGCCTCATGTCCTCTTTACTGTCCTTTTTCTGGAGCACCGATCCCAGGCACAAATGGATGAAAGTTTCCATGACAAAGCCATACCTTTTCTCAGACCAAAGGGGGAATTTCCTTCTCTGTCAAGTGGTAATCCACATATCAACAACCCTTAAAGCTTTGAAATACTTTTAAAGTAGAATTCAGAGCTTGGAGCAACTTGGGACAAATCCAAGCCAAGCAAACTAAATAGGTTCAAACGTACACGTTTTTTTCTTTCGCCAATGAGGGTCTGCTGTTGCTGGAGGAATTCTGCTGTGCCCAGCTCCAGGGCTCCACACACCTGCCCTGCAAATGGCCTGATTCCTGCCCTGCAGGTAATAAACACTGGGGGCAAAGATTGACATGAAGATTTTCTCTTTTCTCCTTAATGGGGGGGTTTGTAGATGCTCATTAAGCTGTTTCCCTCCTGGAAGCCTGACTTGCTGAATGACTGAGATGTGGGCTGTGTGTCAGGCAGGCCATGACCTTGAAGGATGCTATTTCAAGAGGAGTTAGGCTAGCAGTGGGAAGCTGTTCTGTTTTGGAGAGTCTCTAGGGCAACACGTAAATGTGGACCATAGCATTGAAAGGCAAGAAAACTAGCTCAACTGAGTGGGTCATTAAGGGAATTGTGGCCATGTTCAAAAGAAATAGGAGGACAAGAGGCTTCAAAGTCTAGTAGAAGTTAACACATGTTAGTGGAGCAGTTGTACACAGGCTACGGTGTGCAGAGTAATTTTCCTAGCCTTACAGGTTTCTCCACACAGAGGTAACAACAGGCAGTGTCTCTTCCTGCATTCCTGGAAACACTGCACGAGGAGCCACAGTGACCTGCCCCAAGTCACACAGCAAAACTTTAGCCGGCAGCAGTCTGTGCGTAGAGTTCATTTTCCCCTCGCTGCAATGCAGCTGTCTCTGAGGGGGCCCAAAAAAAAATGAGCGCCCAGCACTGTGATCTGACATCTCCAAACAGGAAGGCAAAATGCAATTACTTCTTTGGGAGTACAGCCAGGATTTTGGGGCTAAAAATCCTGCTCTTCAGTGCCAGGAGTCCTGTCAAGACCTTAAGAAGTTGGTGGCGAGGTGTTGTGCTGTTGTATTAAATTGTTCCTTCTTTGGGATCAGCAGAAAATTGCTTCCTGTGATTTTTCCCTTTTGTCACTGTCACAGTCCAGGCACAGCTTTGGATTTACACATACTGGAAAGCTGACATCTCCTTGAATGCAACTGGTCTGCTTTAAGGCAGGAGGTATTTAAGAAGGCTAAACGCTAGCTGGAACAAAGAGAAGAAATGGGGTTAGAGCCATAAATCAAGCAGCAGGAGGTGAATGAGAGGCAGTGTAGCTTATCAGTGAGAACAAGGCTAGGATCATGTCTCCCAGTTTTGACGCTAGTATGGATATGTTGCTGCTTTTCTCTACACCTCTGTTTTTGTGCAAAACAGGGATGATGCAACCTGTTTCACTGAAGCTTCAAAAATGCTAAGTACATATGGAAGACGGAGAAGGAAGGAGTACCCTGAACTGATAAATCAGACACTCTCATATCCTCCCATCTTTCCCTGCAGAGCTTTGACGATGGCGATTCTCGCTTGGACTCCACTGAATTCCTGAAGTTTGTGGAGCAGAATGAGACTGCTGTCAACATCACCACCTACATGGACCAGGAGACTAACAAGCTGCTCAGGTGGGCAGTGGACAGGATGCAAGAAGGAGGGCCAGGGGGCAGACGTGGTAGAAGGGGGCATGAAAATCCACTCACGGAAAATATCAGTTCGGGCTTATGGTAACAAAGACAACTATGCATGAAGTGGCGTCTCACTTAATGAGGTGTGAATACCACCAAAAGGAGCAGTCCCACCGCTACCCTTCACATTAAGCATGTATTCCAACCCTCTTTTGCCTTAAATCTAGTATGTGTGTAGCCAGAAGGTGAGTTAGGTGACGGAAAATTTGTCTTCATTTTTATACCCTAATAAATTAGCTTTCCAGTGGACCTTGCTCACCTTTTGCCTGATAGCTAGATCCAGTGCAAGGAAGATGGTGGGAAAACACAGCTCATGGGTGGCCTGTAGTTAGAGCTGATGCAGGCATCGCATGAAAATGTGGTCTGAGAGGTTTCCCTTTTTTCTGTGTGTGTGCCACTGTGTGTGAGACAATGAGCAAAACATGGTTCTTGTGGTTAGACTGTGCTTGCATCTCTCTACTCATGTGACAGCATGTAGATGTCAACAGGGTCCTATTCCTGCTTTCTGAATATCCCGCCACTTCCCAGCCCTTTGCTAGACAGGGAGTATTTTGTGACTATTTTTCTTTTGTCTGTATCCAGTGAGGTTTCCTTACAGAAGCCACTTCTGCCAGGCATCTCAGGGCCTTCCTTGTTACTACTGGTTTTACTCATCTGTGCTCTGAAGCCAGTAGAGCAGGGGCCAGCCTAGTAAAGCCCTGTGCAGAACATGCCTCTCTATTTCCTTTCAGGGGACTCTGCGTAGATGCCCTCATCGAGCTGTCAGATGAAAATGCTGACTGGAAGCTCAGCTTCAATGAATTTCTCAAGTGCCTCAGCCCATCCTTCAACCCACCAGAGAAAAGTAGGAACTCCTCACTTGTATTGGGGAACCAGAGGGGTCCTGGGAAGGGAGGAAAGAGAAGAATCATAGAATCACAGAATGGTTTGGGTTGGAAGGGACCTTAAAGATCATCTAGTTCCAACCCCTCTGCCGTGGGCAGGGACACCTTCCACTAGACAACGGTGCTAAAAGCCCCATCCAGCCTGGCCTTGGACACGGCAGGGCAACCTGTTCCAGTGTCTCACCACCCTCACAGTGAAGAACTTCTTCCTAATATTTAATCTAAATCTCCCCTCCGAACAGTTTGAAACTGTTACCCCTCATCCTATCACTACCCTCCCTGGTATAGAGTCCCTCCCCACCTTGCCTGTAGGCCCCCTTTAAGCACTGGAAGGCCGCTCTAAGGTCTCCCCGGAGCCTTCTCCTCCCCGGGCTGAACAACCCCAACTCTCTCAGCCTGTCCTCACAGGGGAGGTGCTCCAGCCCCCTGATCAACTTTGTGACCCTCTGGACGCGCTCGAACAGGTCCATGTCTGTCTTATGTTGGGGGCCTCAGAGTGGAACACAGCACTCCAGGTGGGGTCTCAGAGAGCAGAGGGGGAGAATCACCTCCCTCGACCTGTTGGCCACACGTCTCTTGATGCAGCCCAGGGTACGATTGGCTTTCTGGGCTGTGAGCGCACGTTGCTGGCTCATATTCAGTTTTTCATCCACCAGCACCCCCAAGTCCTTCTCTGTGGGGCTGTTCTCGACCCACTCATCACCCAGCCTGTATCTGTGCTTGGGATTGCCCCAACCCAGGTTGCAGGACCTTGCACTTGACCTTGTTGAACTTCATGAGGATTGCATGAATTTCACGAGGGGCTCACCTCTCCAGCCTGTCAAGTTCCTTCTGGATGGCCTCCCTTCCCTCAAGCGTGTTGACTGCACCACGCAGCTTGGTGTTGTCGGCAGACTTGCTGAGGGTGCATTCAATCCCATCTGTCCATGTCGCTGACAAAGATGTTAAATAGCACCAACCCCTGAGGAATGCCACTCATCACTGGTCTCCACTCAGATATAGAGCTGTTGACTGTGACTCTTTAGTGCAACCTTCCAGCCAATTCCTTATCCATCTGTCAAATCCACGTCTCTCCAGTTTAGAGAAAATGATGCCATGTGGGACAGTGTCGAATGCTTTGCACAAGTCCACCAACACTGTAACCCCGTTGTAGAAGTCCACCAAATTTGTCAGGCACAATTTGCGCTTGGTGAAGCCATGTTGGCTGTCACCAACCACCTTCTTATTTTCCGTGTGCCCCAGCATAGTTTCCAGGACAATCCGCTCCATGATCTTGCCGGGCAAAGAGGTGAGACTGGCTGACCTGTAGTTCCCCGGGTCTTCCTTTTTTCCCGTTTTGAAAATAGGGGTTATGTTTCCCCTTTTCCAGTCAGTGGGAACTTCACCTGACTGCCACAACTTCTAAAATACGGTGGATAGTAGCTTAGCAACTTTATTCACCAGTTTCCTCAGGACCCACAGATGCATCTCATCGGGTCCCATGGACTTGTGCACCCTCAGGTTCCTTAGATGGTCTTGAACCTGATCTTCTCCTACAGTGGATGGGTCTTCATTCTCCCTGTCCCTGCCTTGTTCTGTGACTTGAGTGGTGTGGCTGGAGCACTTGCCAGTGAAGACTGAGGGAAAAAAGTTGTTGAGTACCTCAGCCTTCTCCATATCCCGGGTAAAAAAAGAGACCAGCTTTGGGGCAGACATTGGATGCTGTACCTCCACTCACAGAGATAATGTTGATGTACACCTGCCTCCCATCCATCAAGACCCCTTCTCCCTGCATTGTCAGAAGTACTGCGTTTTCTGTTCCAGAGCCCTCAGAACTCTTGTGATGAAAAAGGCTTGGATGTTAGAAGGAAGGGTGTAGGTCAAGTGGATACGGTATGTTTGGAAGGTCAAGGCATGTATTTATCAGTGCAGAGATAAATAATGTGAGGAGTTCACGTCTGGATAACTTAGGAAAGTCAGACCAGACCAAAGTCTTGCTATGCTCTGCCTTTTACACAGAGAGCCTCCCTGATGAACATCTCAAAGTTCACTATCCTTCCATATTCTGATTAGTACTACTGTTCATGTGGAAGCAGCTTAGTGTTCTGCTGACCGGGCATGCCTAGCCATTCATCTGATTGTCTCCTCAGGGGGTGCTGGTCCAAAGGTACCAGATTTACATCCAGCTGCAGTGGCACCGAGGAACAGACAGACGCTATGCTTCCTAGGGACTATTAAGTTGAACTCTCTGTTGCCTGTTTCAGTGGGAAGCTAGGGGTGCTGCATCTCCCCCAGAAAACAGAGTCAGCTGGTTTTCATTTAACGCCATACGGACCCTTCAGTGCTTTGGCGGCCTCAACTTAAACATATAGTAGAGCTGAGAGAAGAAATATGAGCTGAAATGAGAAACCTTGTGATTTTTCCCCTTTCTTTCTCAGGGCAACAGCAAATACACAAATAATTTCCCCAACTTCTCCCCACCTGGAACAGGAATTTTTTCAGAGTAACCAAAACTTTCCCTTTGGGGGTTCTCTTCTATGTATGAGATTTCATTTGGAATCGAGTAATTGAAATGTGTTCGAGGAAGCAAAATTAATTGTTTGATTTTCCCAAATTATTTTTTGGCTGATTTTACACACCAAATTCAGCATGAATGTTTTAGTCATTATGGGACTTCTGGTGGTTAGGAGAAGGAAGGCCTCCTCCAAAACTTTTTACCTCATCTCTCTCAAGGCATCTCCAAAGTATGTTGTCTTTAGCCAGCTCGCCGTCTCACAAGCACTGCCCTTGTTTTGTGCCTCTCTAGAGTGTGCTCTGGAAGATGAAACCTATGAGGATGGAGCAGAGACCCAGGTGGAGTGCAACCGCTGCGTCTGTGCCTGTGGGAACTGGGTGTGCACCGCAATGACATGCGAGGGTCTGTATGCTTTCCCGACAATTACTGTATTTGGTGTTGTACGAGAGGGGTGCTTGCTTTCTATCTTTCCGAGGGCACCAACTATCCAGATTTCTTCTCTCCAGCTTTTCCTCATCTTCTCTATGGGTGGCTTCTCCATCACCCTGCCATGCTGCATGTTGGCCAAACCCAAGCTGGTTCTGTTCTAGAGGTCAGAAAGTGTGTAACTGGGCTGGGGGCAATGCTGCTGGGTTTGTAGTTTGGATTTGGTGTCATGAAAATTCAGCACCATATCTTCTAGATCAGAGCTATTCTGTATCCAGCTGGCTTGGGGCACGCACAGACCAAATAGGTCACTGTCTGCAACCATTCATGTAGGTGCGAGCGAGTCAGCTTTCCTGCGTATGTGTCAGTATCCTCGCTGTATCTGTGTTTATGGTATGTGTAAAGCAGGAGCTAGGGTCCTGTCTTGCCTCAGAGGGGAGATAGAAGACTTCATCCAGTAACGCCAAGAAAGCATTTTGGCTTCTTGCCATAAAAACTGTAGAAGTAGAAGAAAATGACGGTGATGGAGATGAAGGGAGGTGGTGTTCATAGTAAGGCAGGGTTGTTGGTCCGTCTGTTCTTCCTTTGGAAGGCCCTTAAACTTTCACAGCCATGTTACAATTGTGAGAATTTGTGGTGGGGTTGTGAACAACGGCTCTCTGTTTTGCCTTCTCACAGATGGTCCAGGGCCAGTGGAAAGCCAGCTTTCCCCTGTCTTGGGAAATGTACGGGTCCTTCTAAGGAGCCACGTCCACCCTCCCAGCACTGCACTGTATTTTTCTGGCCTTCTTCCCTAGAAACCAGGCCTTTGCATGAGCTTTGTTTTCAAGCTCAAAGCTGTGTGGGAGCTGTCAGCAGTATATTAGTTCAGATCTATAGGCAGTAGCTTGGGCAGAGTAGGAGAGAGGGGAACAGCGACAAGCATATACAGAGTTTTTCATGTTTGCCTAGCCTTCTGCAGCAGAGGCTTCGGGATCACCTCAGCCCAGACTTGGCTGTAGCAGCAGGAACTCGCCTCAGAAGAGGTAACTGTAATAGTAGTCGAGCTCCCAGAGGAGCTGTGGATAGGTGTCAGAGCTTAAGTAACCGAATGAGAGACTCTTTTTGTTGCCTCCCCAGAAACAAGCTTCAAAGTTGCTATGCAACACCTGCTCTTGCTGCCTACTTTGTTTCCTGCAGAAGCATGCAATGGGACAACAATTCCTTTACTTTCTTCCCATGTCAGAGCATCAGAGGGTTTAGAGGCTATTGTTAGAGAGATAATGAAACCAAGACTTTCTGCCCATGTCAGAGGCTATTGTTAGAGAGATAATGAAACCAAAGAAACAGATCAGATACATCAACAAGTTGCATCTCCACTGGGCGAAATTACCTCTTTGTTAGGCATCAGTTATTGTACTTGGATAGCCCTGGGCTTCTCTTTATTCCCTACAAGAGGCCAAGATGTTTGAATTACTTATAGGTGCTTGTTTTAAATAATATGCAGCCTCTTCCTTGTGGCTTTATTTTTTTATCACGTGGGAGGGAGACATGGGGACAGACGGGATGCCCAGGTTCTGAAGTCCCAGACAGCCACAAGGTCCATTCTGTTTCTAAGAAGCCAGACGATACTTTCTTCCAGCAAAGCCTTCCTAAGCTTGAGGTGCGCTGTGGCCTACCTGCCTCTCTTTGTTCTACATGGTTCAACCTCTGAAATTTGCATCCCCTGTTTGTGATAATGCTGAACTCCATTTCTGTTTGCAGGAAAGAATGAGAAGGTGCCTGCTCAGAGGCAGCGACCTAATCAAGACTTGACTGAGGAGGAACTGGCTAGATATGTTCAGGAACTGCAGAAGCATCAGGTTAGTATGAGGTGTGGAAGGTCTGCTTGCACTAAGCCTCTCCGTGCCAGAGGAGTTCCTTCTGCTTCTGTCACTTGGAGACTGCTGGTAGAAGGGGGAGCACAGTAAAGGAGGATCCCTGTTGCCTGTGGGGACAAATATAGGTGTGGGGCTTTGAGTTATAAGCCAGTGTTGGCACTGCTTGTGGATGGACTGAAGGCTTCAGGGCACACACGGGTTCCTGTGTCAGTGTAGAGCCTCACTTTTGTGCTCTCTTTCCCCAGGAGACGGCCGAGAAGACCAAGAGAATGAGCACCAAGGAGATGTAAGGGGCCTCCACACCGGAGGAGCCCAGGAGGATGGGCCCAACCTGCCACCCTGTCCTCCAGTGCTGATCTCAGTATGCACAATTGCCCAGTCACAGATATTTACATTGTATAGCGATGGGTTATTTGTTTTGTAATACACAGAGAATGGGGCCAGGAAAGGGGAGCAGAGCCTACCTGTTCAGGGAGCTTCATATTGCTGGGGCCTTGGAAGGCTGGGAGGGACTTACAGCAGCTGCTGGGACCCTTTCCCAGAGCAGATGGCTGCTCCCTCCAAGAGGTAACAGGGATTTCCTGTTTCCCTGGATCTGGGGAAAGGACGGAGGCCAGTGCTGGATGGAAAAGGGGGTCTTCAATCGATAAAATTGTCAGCACCAGCCTTGGCTACAGAAATACAGGCCCGGCAGTTTTGTGGCTGAGCACGTGTGCTGCAGGGCATCATTAGCCAAGGACCTTGCCCTGCTTACCCTCCCCTTTGGTATGAGGTCCTCAAAGCTGGTCAGCCTGGTGTGACACCTGGAAGTCATGGTGCCATGCTGCTGGCATGAGTCCAGCACGTTCCTCCTTGCTTTCCACCGGACTGTCCCCAGCAGCTCCTCCAGTACATTGTGGGCTCCAACACAACATGGTTCCTTTCGACCTCATCTCACCTTTACTCTCCTTGCCCCCTCCTTAGAGGTGCTATCATATTTTTTTCTTATCACATTCACATGCTGGCTCCCCCTTTTGTTTTTTATTACTTTATTTCCTATGGTAGTAATTCAGCTTTTGTATGTTTTGTAGCTCTAGATCTTTCAAGAAAACCCAGCCTGTGGGTTTTTGTTACTGACAGTGCTGTAATGCCCATGAACAGTTTGTATCACACTGCGCTCAGCCACCACAAACACCACAAGCAACTTGTGAGCCGTGCACAACAGGGTATTTCTTAGCTTGGGATAGCAATGTCCCTCATGGGAGGAGGAGACAGGGCTGGGTGTAATTAGCTTGACCAGGCATGGATTGACACTGCAGCTCTCTAGCTCTTGCTCCCTTAGCTAGCATTGACCAGCTTTGTGCTGGTCCATGTGCTCAAAGTCCATGCTCATGCCTCTCTAAATTGCCCCCAGGAAAGTGCCAAGTGGTCTAGAGACAGAGGGACCAGGCAATGCCATTAGCAGCATATCTTGAAAGGCCTAACTACTTAGAAAACCGTTCAGTTGGAGTCTGGGCTGTTAGCCATCATCTTGCGCTTTTCATCTCCCTCTGGGGTGAGGCAGCAGCATTATTCTTTGATTCCAGGTCTGAGTTCGAAGTCAGGGCTGGAAGCCTCATTACTGATGCATTTCACAGTGGTTTTGATCAGACCATCTTTGACCATCCTCACATCCCTTCATGGGTCATTTTCATCTGACCTGTTTCTCAGATATAAATGAAGATATAAATGAAACGGTGTGCTGTTGACAATCATTTCTGTAGCCGCAAGCCCAGCTGATTTTCGCCTGCAGTTGTCAAATGTACTTCATACACTCACACACCTGAATATCTAGTTTCCACGTTCCCTTCACGCCCCTGCTGTGCATTCCAAGCAGATGCACGTACCCTGAGATGACTGCTTCTGACTTCCATCTTCCTGTTTGTGAGCAACTTCAGCAGTTCTTGCCAGGTGTCTTGCAGTCCCTAGTGCTTACTCAAGCGAAACTCTGCATCCATCTGCAAAAGTATGTTCTGCTTGAGTGAAGAGCAGCAGGACTTTTGTCCCTACTTTACCCTTTTTGCACAGTGCTTTCCTCGGAGAGGAAGAATGAGCTGGTGCCTAGCAAGTGTAGGAAAAGAAGACAGCTTGGTCTCTCCTGCGGTCTCACCCGTGAGCCAGATTTGTGAAAGGCTGTCTGGTCGTCGAGCTGTTTTCCTGACATGAACCCAGAGGACTTCCATTGACTTCGGCACAATACCATGCCACATTTCCAGTGAGAATCATGCTCTACCTTGCCATGCTTGGAGGTTTTGGCATAATACATACAGAAGGGGGCTGGTTCTTCTCCCATAAGGGTCTGGATTTGAGAAGCTGTCGATTGTGAAGGTGAGGGGAATGAGTCCATAGGAGCTAAGGGTAATGTGGACAGTGCTACACTGGGATGGAGTCATTGTTTGTGTTCTGGTGGCACAGGATTAAGTGGTTGGTGGAATCAGGAGCACCCATGAGATGTACCCTTGCTCTTCCCCAACTGCATGAGTGAGACAGCTTCATGTGCTGGATCTGGAGTCACAGGAACATTGTTAATAAATGTTTGGCTTTATTCTGACCCTGCTCTGAAAGGTAGTTTGTGCCTCCCAGCCCACTTCCTTCCAGCTTGGATCGTTAAAGTGCCTTAGAGAAAACACAACAGCTTGCCTTAAAGGCTTTCCCTGGATGGAGATAACACCTTATTGTCCAGTCAGGAATACCTCCAACTGGGAGAAGCAGAGCATGTGCAGGAAGGAGAGGGTAATACATAGCTGAAGGGCTCCCGTAGGCTGCATTATGTGATAACGTTCTCCAGTCCCCTTCCTGTTTCCTGTGGGTGTGCGGTCTACGAGGACGGCTGCTGGGGACAGCTGGGGAGGTGGGTGCTGGCAGTTGAGGTTTACAGAGCTTGCGCTTGCACTGGGGGCGGAGGGGTGGGCTACTCTCTCAGGCAAGGCAAGCTGAGCTCTCTGACAAGCCATACAACGTACCCCAGGGTAGCCTGGGGCAGCGCGGTAGGGGTGCAGCGAAGGTGCCTCCGCAGAAAGGGCTGCCGCCATTGGAGCCTTTTCCTTCTTGTGCCCTCAAAGGGAAAGGCAACTGTGGAGAGCGATGCCAGTTCTAAGGGCTACGGTCCCCAAAGGGGACCGAAATGTCTTGCCTCCCCGCGCTGAGGGAAAGGGCAACTGTTGGGGGAGCGATGCCCAGACTGTACCCCGCAGGGGGCTGGTCGGTCGCTAACTTCTGCAGGGTGACTTGGCTGTTGGGGAAGGAAGAGCTGAACTTCAGCCATCACCCTCTGGGATAATTGCTGTACAGGCTGCAAGGGGCAGGGAAGGCTTTTTTTTTTTTTTTTTTCCAAAAAGCCAAATCTAAGCAACAAAAAAGTCCCACTCCTCCCTCTATATTCCCTCTGGTATGTGTGTGAAATTTATCAGTATTCTGTAGGTTTCCTTAGTGCACTTATTTTACTTGATTTTGTAATTTTTTTTGAAGCAGGGGGGTTTGGATATTACTGCCAAATAAATGAAACAAAATTTTAAAAATGACACGTTTTGTTTTATTTCTCACAAGCCACATTCCTCGTTTTCCTCTTCTGAAAAAAAAAATCAGCTGTCTTTTTGCACATTCACGGATCAAAATGCACGGGGCAAATGGAAGACACGACTGTCTCTGGTTTATAGCTGGGGAAACTGAGGTACAGCAGAAAGAAGTGGAAAGTTGCAATCACATGGCAAGCCAGCGGCAGAGATGCAGCCAGCAGCCACATATCCTGCTTCCCAGCCATGTGCTTTTAATGATGAGATTGCTCCACAATTCCTTCAGTATCCCCCGTTCACTCCCCCAGCACTTGTTCCACCTGTGCCATTGGGAAAGACAAACCTAGCAGCTCTCCGTGTGTGATGTGGTCACAAGGTGAACATGCATTAGGGTCACACTGGCGATGGAAAGGCAAACCATTGTCAAGTGGGAAGAATACGGAGGGACACAGGCAGTGAAGTACAGGGCAATCGCTCTGTCCTGTGAGGCATTGGGGGAGCCTCAGCTGGAGTACCTTCTGGTTTGGGCAGTGCCTTTCATGAAACGGGTGGAGCAGGTGGGAAAAACCCAGAGGCAAGGAAAAATAGTAACTAAAGGCCTTGAAAATGTGACTTAGAAGGGCAGGTCAGAAGTCTTAGGCACAGTTAAGAAGGAAAGCTCTAAATGTTTGTCTTTGGGTGGAGACTGCGACCAAGATGAACGTACCCATCTCGCTGTGGCCGATGGGACACTAACTCCGCTTGTGGCAGTCAAGGCGGATCTAGATGAGACACCAGGGAATGCTTTTGAATGTCAAGATTAGCAAAGAACTGGAAGACACTTCCTTGATATTTCACAGACTTCACCGCTCTATGGATTTTAAGAAAAGACTAGAGTAACACAGGAATAGACCAAGTATAGCTGACGCTACCCTAAGATGGGAGAAGAGGCTGGTGACCCTCCTGAGGTCCCTTCTGTTTCTGACAGGACCTTATGAAGACAGGGCTGAATGGTTCATGTCACCTTTGCTGAACTGAATGATGAAATGGCCTTTAAATGGTGTCATATAACAGGAAGATAATGTTTTACATTCATCTCCCCCATAACTGCAATGGACTTGGCTCACTACTGTGAGCTCCTCTGGGCAAATGACAGCCCCACAGAAGAGACGGCTGTGTTACTTTGTTTCACTTGGTATGCTCCTTCCAAAGCCAGTTAAAACAAAAAACAACAAAACCAAAAAGAAACCAAACCCGTTGCCTCTTACATGTTACTTTTCACACCAAATGGCCTCTTTAGCATGCACCATCTGCCGTGTAAGCAGTCTTAACTGTGGCATTCCCTGCCCATTCACTGCTCAACTGCAAAGTGGGTCTGCTTTCTTACTTTAAATTTCCGAGGATTTTAAGAAGGAATGAAAGGAAGTGTCAGCCGCGAATTTAGCTAGATGGCACTATAAATTCTTTGCCTTGTGCGTCATGCATGCTTACTGAAGCAAAATGATTTTGGGGTGGAAGAGAGGAAGAGCAGCAAAGCTGTTGCCCACCCCTAGCAGAGGCCTGGCAAAAACTTTGACCTGTCTGTTTATGGAGTTAAGCATATGTGAGTATTAATGAGTTGCTGCACTGTGTAGCTACATGCACTTAATCACTTCAGAATTCTCCAGCACTGTTAAGCTTCAAACTGAGAAATATGCTATTCAAGTGGTTGATCGAGACTCTGAACTGCATTTGTGAGGTATTTATTAACTTTAATTCTGAAGATGGGAACGAACTAAATTATCATAAGACTTAATTCCTGAAAAAACCTGAACCAGTTCACAGGCATGACTTCGGGAGAGCTCAGACTTAAAGCACTTCAGGAGACAAAAGCAAAATCCAGATGACCTTACTCTTATGCTTACATAAACCCTCCCACAAACTATCCTGATCCAGATGAAATAGCACAAGCTTTACAGAGTAGGCAAAATTGTATTGAAAACAAATAACTACACTGGTACAGTGTCTGCTTTTATGTAGCTGTCTCTGGGTTCACATCAGGGTTGCACCTGTGAATCCATAGAGACTTATAAAACAAATGAAAGAAGTCCAACAGAAGGTGACCTGTTCATTCCCATCCACTATGGCACACCCTTTCTTGAATGCTAGGCACAGCCC